ATATTTCTAGCGTCGCAAATTCCGATATTTCTCCAGAAGCGACAGAAAGATAAAAGAAAACGTTCGCCGTCTTGTCCATCAGTGCATTACCCGAGTAGAAAAATTAATAGGGCTCTGATAAGGGTCTGCTTAGTTTTCCCTAACTTTAATCGAGCCCTAGTAGGGATAGAAAGACAAGGGCTCTACCAGATGTGTAACAAATGGTTTAACGAGTCCTTATAAAGCGATATTAATAGGGCCTTATAAGGAAATATTTCTATTATTGCTTGAGTAAAAATATTCGTTCTCTTCATTCCAAAAGATTTAAACTAATTTAATTATTTATTTATAACCTTGTTAGTATACAACAAGAATTTTTTATTTTAAAAATATAACATACTTTACAATAAACTATAGCATCCTTTACAAAAATCCTGCTGCTATTTTTATTAAAGTTTGCTACATTTAAAAACGAAGGCAGCATTAGAAAAATCTTTAGACTAATAAATATGGTAACTAATAAAACTAATAAAATTTGTTTTTAATTGCGATATAATCAAAAAATCTCTAAAAGAACCAAATAGAGCGTAGTTACTAAAACAATACTAAACTATGACAATTTTATTGCACCCTTCAAATCTTATTAATTTTCTATAACAAAACTTGATTTTGTAGATCTAAAGCATCCTCAAAAAATCCTTAAAAAATCCTAAGGCCCACATCAGTTCTCCACGTTAAAGCGTTATTTCGTAAAATCTAAAGCAACCCTAAAAAATCTTCCTAAGGCCTTTCTCAGCTTTCCCTATCAAAACCTTATTTATTAGATCTAAGGCATGCCTAAAAAATTCTTCTAAAGTTCTTATCAGTTTTCCCTATGAAAGCTTTATTTATTAAATCTATGACAACTCTGAAAGATCCATCTCGGGGCCTGATGGTAATAATGAGACGTTTCTTTTTAGGGCCTAGGTTAGGTTCACAGTCCACTTTCAGTCTTATCGGGGCCTTATGCTTCATGAGGATAGACCTAACAATTTTTTGCTCGGGTAGCGCTTCGTTAAACCAAGCCGCCCGGATTGAAAAGTCGGTCATCTTTTCGACTGAATCGTCAAACACTTTTACTCGGCGCCTCTAATCGGCAGAGAACGCAAAAAAATTCGCCAGTCTCGGCAAAGCTGTAAACTCGATGCAAAGAAAATGATTGAAGAAGCGCGAGAAGCTGGATCCAAATTTCACACCGGCCATATAAATCCTTCACTCACATTCCCTTTTGATTTCAATTTTGCCGAGCTCTCCTTCTCGATTAGCAGCGTCGCGAATCATCTCGTTATCTCGCTCTCGCGCATTACTTCTCGTGTCCTTTCGGCGCAAAGCCGAGGGCCTCGATGGAGGACGGAATCATTTTGCTTCCAGCGAGGAAGACGCTAAAAACGCGAGAGCAGGCGGCTTCCGTGAACGATAGCCGACATGCAGGCACTGGCCATAATGACACTGTCACAGCCGGTACTTATATGAAGACATATCGCCGCAGTTGAACCGCGTCTGCGTTCCCGGCCGCGTGCTTTTCTTTCTATTGCCCGTGCGCAGAGGTCGAGCACAATTATTCCATTAAGTGTTAGATCATCGGCAACAATAGTCGGGAATAGAGACGAGCGATCGATGAAACTGTCGCGGTCGCGGTGGCTGTGCCGGCGGCTCGTCGCGTCGTCAGCTAAAAACGCCAAATCGATCTTGCGAGTCAATCTTGCTCTCGTCGGGTCGATTTCCCGACGGGGATAGACGGAAAATCGAAGTGTTCGGCGGCGGCGGCGGCGGCGGCGGCGACGGCGGACGTTGTCACTTCACAGCTGTAAATCCCCGGCTTGGCGATTCTGTGTCGCGAAGAAGCTTCAAACTGTCCGCCTAGCAGACGCGGTCTCGGGCCAAGGATTCGTCCCGCGAAACCCCGTGACTGTCAGGACGAGCGATTAGGCGTGTCGAAGAAACGGCCGTCGCTCGTACCCAGCCATCTGTCTCACCGGTCAGATGGCGGCGCTTAACGAGGACGTTAATCGAACGCAACAACGGCGGCACCTTTCTAAAGCGAGCTCGCGCTAAATCAGTCGCAAATTATTGCGCTGCGTAACCACCGGCGCGTTCCGCTGCCATGTTATCGCGGGGGGGTCAGCCGCTTTTCATTTTCCCGGCCGTGCCGTGCAGAGACGCCTGAACGGCCCGGCCGAGGTTTCACCACTTCGTCCACCACGCGCGCCAACGAGCGTCGACGGCCGAACGGGCGTCCGGCTTTTACGAGTCTGCCCACTTACGTGTAATATAATAAACGCTACGCTTTATTGCCCAAGTGAAATCGCCGAGCGGTAAACACCCAATAAATACGGCGTATTAGCCGGCGACAAGTCGAGTGAAAGAGCTACGCGACGATGGAAATGGCGTCGGGACAGACGCGACGGTCGCGCGAGCGTGCGCTTCCCTCTGTGTGTGTGGCAAGTCGCGCGGGAATTTCGTCCCCCGTTTATCCTGGACACCCTGTAGACGAGCGTTACGATTGTTAAAAGCGTCCGGGGGAAATTTGAAACGTTATTAGCGAATTTATCGCCAAGTCGGTGCACATTCGGCCGTGTCGCAGAAAGATTAATTCGTTGCAGAACGACGCCTGTGCCTTCAAGATGGCGTCCCACAACGAGACTGGAGTTTTCACTCGGAGGGGAAAATTGCATCTATTAGGAAAAGTGTATGAAAAGTTTTAGTCTTTTTTCACCCTAATGTAATTATTTTAAATTGAAATATTTTTTTCGTCGTTTTGTGTTTTTGTGAAATTGGTATTGAACTTTTTAAAACGCCGTTCGTTATGACTCATTGGCGTACATAACTTTGAAAATAATACTCGATACAATGAGCGACGAAAAATCTTATATTCGACACTGGATTCGATATGAATTCCAGCAAGGAAAAGATGCTATTGAAGTATGTGAATCCATTTGTTCTGTTCTCGCGGAAAATTTTATGTCTCAAAATACATGCAAATCTTGGTTTCGTCGCTTTAAAGACGATAATTTTTTTACACGAGTGATCGTCTGCGCTCTGGAACGCCATGAAAGCTTGAAGCCGACAATTTGGAAGCGTCGTTGAGTGAAAACCCGATCCAACGCAAGTAGAATTTGCAGAACAGCTCGGAGTTGATCGAGCCACAGTTTCAAGGCGACCGCATGAAATGGGAAAAATTCAGAAGTTCGGAAAATGGGTGCCGCAGGAATTGTCGCAAAACAGCATTATCCGCCGGTTGAGTACGCGCGTTTCATTGTTTTCCGCTCAGCGTAAAACAGATTTTTTATCGCGAATTGTTACCGGCGATGAAAAATGGATTATGTATGATAATCCTAAACGCAGCTTTCTACATCAGTGGCGAAACCAAATATTCGCAGCAAAAAGTCCTTTTGTGTATTTGACGGGATGCAAAAGGTTATATGCACTAATGAATCATAATGAATGGCGTTTTAGAAAGTTCAATACCAACCTTAGAAAAACACCAAACGGCGGGAAAATATTTCAATTTAAAATAATTACATTAAGGGACTGAAGAAAGACAAAAGATTTTGCATATACAAAATATTTAAAAATATCTCGCGACGTGCACAAACGTATACTTTTTATCAAAGACAGGCTTTTCTTTTTCCGTCATGTAAGGTAAACGTCCCAATGGCCGGACACGTCCCAGTATCCGACCATTTTGAAAAAAAATATTTACTATTTGTTTTAACAATAATGAATGAAAGTAATAATTATTGTAAAAAAAAACTCCAATATTTGACGATTAGTCGACGATTAGGAAAAAAATATATCCAATTTGATACTTTTGTGTTAAAATAAAAATTAATTAAATAAGTATGCATATGCAAAATAGCATCTATATTTATATTATTTTCCGTTAGTACATACTAATTTCCTAATTGCGATCAGGCACTGGGACAAATATATCCGAACATTGGGCCATAACCTATTTCAACTGTCCGGTCACTGGCACTTCATTACTTGGTTCATTACATTAAGGTGCTTCATTACGTGCGTAAATATTTCATTAATAATAGATATATATATATATATTGGTTTAAATCATTTTTCTCTATTTAAAAAAATTTTAAGTTTTTGAATAAATACGAATATTTATATATCAAAATAATTCTTAATGTTATGTATTATATCTTTTATTATGACTTACGCTTAAACGTCCAATTTCTGAGACATTTATACCTAAAAAAAAATATTCTATTTGTAAAGTGATTTTTCCCATAGTCTCATATTCTAAGCGAAGCTTTTTGCAGAAAAAAGATTCCTCTTTCGATAAAGCTATTAAAGTGAAGCATTCATCTAAAATTTATTAGATATTATTTCAACTATTTTCCTCTTATTTCAGGAAGGTTTCCTCTTGTATCAATTAATTTTCTTCTTATATAAAAAATACAGTTTATAATCTATTGCAAGAAGTTGAATAATATATTCTTTCCTTTAATTATGTTTCACACAATTGGTTATGATGAACATTTTTGTTACAATAGCTATAAAGTCCGTAACAAAACTGATTGGAAATTTATTTGTTATGATGATCTTACTTCATTCGTGCCTGCTTACTTGTAGAACTGAAGCTAGAAGTGCATCTATATATATATATATATATTACTTTTCGCTATACATTATCATAATTTTTACAAATTAACTAATATAATCAGTAAGAATAAAGTACAGTAAGAATAAATAATAACCCTTTTAAAAAAAAATTAAATAATCTGTTTATAAGAAGAAATTTCTATTGAAATCAATAAGATTTGCATTATACATATAACATCTAATCCCTCTAACTTTAAGAATAATTTGTTTATAATATTTTCTTCTTAATCTTAGAAGAATCCTCTTGGAAGAAGAATCCATATATAAGAATAAAATCCTCTAAAGATTGAGATGATTCCGCTTGTTCTGAAATTACTTTTTTCTGGGTGTACCTTACGACCGACTTTTCCTTGCGTTTCCAGGTGTGTACACGCTGCGGCAACACATACACGACCACGAGATCGTGATACCGCGGAAGGTGAATCATCAGGGCGACTTGATCTCGAATAATGTAACGCATCATCATCACGAGGACGGGCCAATCGTTCATTATCGATTGGCGGTGGCCGGTAACGAGTACCACATCGAGCTGACTGCGGCCGACAACTTCATCGGCGGCGCGATGGTCGTGGAAAGGCACAAGCGGGACCTGCACGTTCGTAGCCCGGCGAAAAGTCACGGCAGTAAATGTCATTATCGGGGATTCATTAAGGGCCATCGGAATTCCCGCGTCGCTCTGTCCGCCTGCGACGGTCTGGTGAGTTACACTTTCGATTTTCCGATAGGTCACGTTTACACAAGCTGATATCCCCGCGTTACCAGCGTCGAGGGCAGCTGGAAAGCTGACATTCGCGAGAACCCCGATATTGCTCTTTACATGTGTGGCCGCATATCTGTATTGTTAATTCAATATGAAATGTAGTACACGAGGAAAATTGGCCCGTCGAAATCCGTCGCTGTGTGGATTTCCGCTCCTGCCGCCGAAACGTCAGTTCTATCGCGGCAAGCAGAGAGCGAGAGAGAGAGAGAGAGAGAGTGAGAGAGAGAGAGAGAGAGAGAGAGAGAGAGAGAGAGTGAGTGAGAGCGAGAGCGAGAGAGAGAGAGGGGGGGGAGGGGGAGAGAGAGAGAGAGAGAGAGAGAGAGCGAAAGAGAGAGAGGGAGGAAAAGAGCCATTACATCGCGGATCGATCGCGCGACTGTCGTTTTTACGTCGCGATGTGACGCGGCGCGTCGCGATGTCGGATTCGCGACAGCGACTAAACAGGACGCGAGCTCGAAGCGATATAATATGACAAACGCGACGCGATTGAAACGTCAGCTGTGCAATTTGCGGACGGAAGGCAACTCGCCTGTTGCTGCAAGCGATCTAACGCATCCGCGCCCTCCGCAACGCCGAATGCGCACAGTGGCGAAGAGCGTAACGAGAGATAAAATCAACACTGTCGGCCACTGTCGATGCATTAGTATGTCCGTGCGTAAGGACGAGAGCGCACGTGTGCGGGTCCTGTCGTTTAAATTATCAACTGTCCGACACGCACGTCGCAATCGCGATCATATATCTGCTCGGTTATGCCCGCGTCGTGGATCGGACATAAAGTTTCATTCAGCGCGACCGAATCCCTCTTGTCTCCGACAGCGAGAGAGAGAGAGAGAGAGAGAGAGAGAGAGAGAGAGAGAGAGAAAGAAAAAAAAGAGAGAGAGAGAGAGAGGATGGTAAGTAGGCGACAGCAGATATATTAAACGAATACTCGCTTCGCGTTAGTGCACCGCGAGAGCATTCGACGCGAATCGCTCTTACGGAGCACGCTTCGGGGTTCATTAAATCTTTTCACTGCAAAGTTTACGCTGAATTTCATTTGCACTCGGAATGTCAACACAGCTGACATAAACATTTATTCCGGCAACTCGGAATGTCAGCACAGCTGGCATGAGTATTTATTCCGGCAACTCGAAATGCCAGCACAGTTGACATGGAAAAGATTTAAAGACAGAGAGCAATGAAACAATAATATGTATCACACTTTGATGTTCCCTCTCCTCATTCAAAAAGTAATCGTGTGTTTTTCGTGACAAATTACATCTAAAATATTATATTTATATTTATAATTATATATATCGAGTTGGTGAAAGGAAATGTGGAGATATTCCGCAAAGAGTTAAATCAACGTGTGATATCGCGTTCGCTCGTTCGCTCGCCGGCGCGTACGACATACGAGCGGCAACAAAATACCCTCGTGTGCCGTGGGCTTCGACGCACGTCGATGATAAGCCGTTTCCGCTCGCGCGCGTCGAAGATCGGACGCGGTTATTCGTGAAACGTGGGGATTAATTAATGGGTCCGGCCCGACGACTCACGGTCAACAGCTCGAGCGCGCGCGCGGCTCCAGTGAAATCGGGTCGAATGGTCTGGCCGTGGCGGCGCGCGAGAGCCAATTTTTCAGGGGTGATTTATCGCGTATCTGAAATGCACTCCTTTCGTCAATGTCGCAACGAGGTGAACCGGAACGGTCGGGATGAAAATTCAACCGGGGACAAGAGTCGATCGTGCTGTTCGCCGTCGGCCTGTTCCCGGAAATTGTTCGCCGATGGCCCTCGCCATTTGCGTCATTGGCGATATGTCGGAAACAATAAATTTTGTACCGCGCATCGCGCATTCGCCTGCGAGAGACAAGGCGAGACGTTGCCGTTGGAAGACTCGCTCGCGTCCGCGCGACTTTATAATAGGCAACCAAGAAAGTTCGCACCGTTTTAATATAGAGTAAGTCCGGGATAGATGAACATGGTTTTTTAATTGGAAATAACACATCTATATTATTGCGATAAATGATCAACGGCATACACCGGAGGTGTTCCAGTAGAGGATAATGTTTAAGGTACGGGAGAATTTTTGTGAAAAAAATTCATGGGACACTAATAATAATGAAATATTAAAAATATTCTGTGAGGAATAAATGGTCATATGTGAAGGGATAATTCGACATGCCTATAATAATGTAGAAATTTGTTTACCTTTATTTATTTTTTAGTATTGTATAATCTTTTATTAATGATTAACCTCTTTATTAATCCTTTCATTAATTATTAATAAAACAAAACATTTCCTCAAGTTTCTTATAGAAACCAAGGGCAACATTGGAGAGGAGATTGAAAAGTGGCAACGCAGAAAAAAGCCCTATGGGAAAACATTGTTTATTAAAGAGAGAAAAAAGAAAGAGATCTATTCTTCTTTAAACGAAATCTTTAAACGAAACGGCACCTTTAAACGAAACAAGAAGCTGTTTAAAATGTAATAAAGTTTTTAATGTTAGGTACTCAAGGAAAAATGATGGTCGAATATCGGATCGGATCGACATCTTTTATACGCCTGAAGCATTTAGAAAACATCAGTGTCCATTGCTTGCTATTTCTCGCTGAGTAGGCTGCCTATCTAACCCTGATAAAAATGAACCATCTATCCCGTTTGGAAAGTTCGCGTAAAGATGCGTATGCCGCGTGAAACGTAGTCTCGGCGATGAATTTTAAAGTCAAGTACGCAAATATGTTTTTTTACTCGTTTAAGCCCAGGTCTAATGTTGTAACTCAAAATAAAGCTTATTCGCAAAGTATTTTTCCGACGTGTGAAACATTTTGGAGATTAATAGAAACATAAAACATTTATTTACTCACAATAACAGTGTTCTTTAAATAATTAATCTCCACAAGTCACACACCAGAAAATTCTCTATTAAATAAGCCATTGTTCAGGCGTACATAAACATACTGTTAATTAACCGTGTGCGCATGTGCAGTTTGACAGAGTCTGCAAATGGCACGAACTTTCTCGGTTAGCTGTGATTTCAAACACCACTCGAAATCCGAGACAACGAGGATTCCGACCTCGCCGTCGAAATTCGCAATCGTTGCCTCACTCGACGCTCCTCACCTCGTTCGCCCGTCGATACTCGCGCGACGTCTCCGCGAGGGAGAGAACTCACCCTCTCCAGCGCGCTGCTAAAGCACTCGGGGAAAAACTGGCTACCAGCGCCACGGAGAGATTATGCCGCTGCAAGTTGAAAATTTCGCCCGGAGCTCGGCGTAAAGCAACGCACGATCTCTCGCCGGACCGCCGCCGCCGCAGCCGCCGCGGCCCTTTATCATCATCCCCCGGCTGAAATTTATGAGTATTAGTCTACGCGCCGTAACTGCAAACCGCCGCGCCGGCCGCGAGCCGCAAGAAGAGGAGGAGGAGGAGGAGGAGGAGGGACTCCGCGGCGCTCCGCGGAGTTTCCTGCGCGCGTGAACGTAAAATCGCGGTAATGGCGTAAGGGGCGGGCCGGGGAGGAATGCGAAGGTACCGGGAAAAGAAGCGGCGCGGCACAATGCTGGAGCGAGCGAGCGAGCGAGCGACGTTAGGGGCTTGCAAGAGCATGCATCAGCGCAATTTGCTCGCAGCTTCCAGATAATGATTTAATTTGCCACGGCTTGGCAGATTTATGACGGCGCACCTAGTCGTTGTCCACGTACGCGACGCACACACGCCGATATGCGCACACGTGCGTGAAGCCGCGCGCGCGAACACACGGACACTCGCGCTCTCGCACGACGTGAGAGAGAGAGAGAGAGAGAGAGAGAGAGAGAGAGAGAGCTCTGCCCCACAGCCCGCGCCGGCTGTCCCATCGGTGTTCTCAGAGTTCGCCTTATGGACGCTCAGTTCTCACGCAATACCGTGTAATAGGTCAATTTTCTCCGGGAAGCTCGCGAAACTGCATATCGGACGCGGGCTAATCGAGCCGGGTCGAGCCGGGCCGCGCGGCCGCCTGCATATTACGGAAACACGAAATTTCGAGGAACGGCAGGCGAAAACGCGCGCGGCGCCCCGCGAATAACACGCTCCGGCCGGGACGAGCTCGGCTGCGAGCGGAGATACTCGCGCGCTGCAATTCCGCCCGCTCGTGTCAGGGGAGAATGAACTCCCAGATTTTCGCCGTTTGCGTCGACAGAGAGGGCGAAAAGGGGAGGATCTCTGCGGAGGACGCAGCAGCCGCCGCGTGGGAGAGGACGCAGAGTGCGACGAAGGGGAAAATTAGCATAAATCTTGCCGCAAGCGTAAACGCTCTCGCGCATTGTCGTCGAACGGCTGCCGCGCGGAACGGCTGATTTCGACACGTGCGGCTACTCGCTGCGCGTTAGCAACTCTGTTTACCGAGCGGTTGTCCTACGCGGAGCGCGCATACCTCCCGCGCGCGGCTGCTACTCGCTTTTATTGGCCCATAAAGTCTCCGCACGAGGAGGCACGCGAGCATGAGCAGCTCGAAAGAGCAGAAGGAGGAGGAGGAGGAGGGGGAGGAGATGGTGGTGGTGGTGGTTTCGACGCGTAACCGCTATAAAACTCGAGCCTACTACTCGTGCCACTTACGTGCCACGGTTTACGCGGGACTTAAGGCCCTATTTAGCGGCGGCCGTGCGCTCGCTTCTCGAGCCGAGATTAAATATCCTCTAAATTTTCGCAGCGGCCGAATCGTCGATTTTAGAGCCGATTCCGCGCGACCGTTAAGCAGCAGCTCCGCGACTGCTCCGCGCGAGTGCGTAGCTCAGCTCGTACGAGGCCGTTTCCGCGTCTCCTGACGAGACGTGAAGTTTCGCGAGATTGAGCGGCACTTTACGAATACTACACGCGTCGCACGAGCCTCGAATTTATGAGCCAATCACAAAACACGGAGCGCATCGATGAGAGAGTAAACGGAGGCGCTCCGTGAGCGGACGGGTGGTAAATCTCTT